GAGAATTAGAAAAGATTCTGCATCTGGTTCTTGCTACTTGAGAAGGGCCAGGGCCTTCTACGTGACCCTGCGGCCTGGTTTCTCATCTTCTCTCCACCTGTGGCCAAACCACCCTTGAACACACTTGTTCCCATCTTATTTTGTTCGCCTAAAATGAATTCCCGAGAGTGGAAATGATATATCCATATGCCCACATGGATTGGGATAATGTCTTGGTTAGATACATTATACAAATGCTTATCATGCAACTAAATGGAAGAATTAAGATGACAGGAAGGAGGAGGCCCGCTTCACCCCATGGCTCATCCCTAGGTCCCCGTATTTCTGTGTAATTTTCTGTTTTGGTCAACATCTGACTCTGTGTATCATGGTGGTTTCCTGAGATCCGGCACTCAGTGACACCAAGGCTGTCTGTGCTCATTCTGTGATGTCCATGCAATAGCGAAATTGCTTTAGGACACGTTTCCCATAACGCATCTCTGCCCTTAGGCCATCACGGTTCATTTGTTTACAGCTGGAGTTTCCTAGAAGCCCTGGGGAACCCTTGTTTTTGGCACACCTCTTACCCTCATGTTCCAGCCTTTCCCCTGCATTGTCTGTCAGTCATGCAGTGGGCCCTCAGCTCAGGCGAGGAGGAGGAGACCCAGGGCAGAAGGTAGCAGAGGAGCGTTGGATAGATGTGTGGTGCTTGAGGCTGGGGCTCCCACCTTTGCTGACTGCGTGTGAATGGAGGGACCTATTCACTGAGGATTTCCTTTCTTCAAAATGAGGGTGCTGAGTGTAGCCACGCCTGACTCCTAGGAAGAGGCCGATAAATGATAGCCGTGCTGTTGCTACCACGCTCAAAGGCTGACGTTTGCAAGGGCAACAGCTATCTGGCCACGAGCCAGTCAGCGGAGAGGACTGGCGAGCCTATGGGCTTCCAGCGAGGCTCCAGGACAGAGAAGGGCTGTGCAGATTGTGCAGGACCTCCTTCTGTGCGCTGACTGAATACCAGGCCTTCTGCAAGGAGACCCCATGCATTTATACAATTCTCAGATCCTTCCTATAGGCAGGCTATAATGTCCCCACCTTACAAATAAAACAGGGTTCAGCACGGTGGAAGGGATAACATTGGAAGTCGGGGTGCGGGGATGATCTGAGCATCCACATCCTCCCCAGAATGAGTGCTCCTCATCTCTGTTACCCTGGGACGGGCGAAGGGTCCCCCCTGTGCACTCCATTCAGCAGCTCCCTGTGAGCTGTGGTCTGCATGCCTACCCCTGGCCTCCACGGCAGACCCTCGTTTTGGCCATTATTTTAATTTCCTGGGATCACTACCATGTTTGCCATGGGCCGATGGCCTTCTTTGTTTGAGCTAATACATACATGAAGGTCAGAGGTGGTGGGACTTTGGGGGATGCAGTACTGTGCCTGTGCCATTATTTCTTTGACCCACCTACACTTTAGAGGACTGTTTGTGAGACTAGCATGTGATGCTTGTGAAGCCTTTGCTACAAATTCTGGCAGTTTGCTATTATAATTGGTGTTTCTGCCGGCTCACGGCTACGCACTATCACTAAATAGAATGGGGTGCAAGGTAAAACATGACCAGCATTTGCTGAGGGAGGAGGAATGGAAAGAAGGGTCTTTCTTTAATGATCGGAGCAACAGCGTGTACCTCTTACAGGCCTTACTGACTCCAGCCTGTTCGGCTCTCCCTAGACTGGTATGTAATCTACGTGATTAATAAGGACAGAATTACAGGTTTCCATGTTAAAAAATGAATCTCATGTAAACAATGACTTCTTTTTGAAGATAAAACTATGGTCCACATGTTATTTGGGACACAGCTATACCAAGACTCCGTGATTTATCTGAAGGGCAAGTTCAACTGGATTAGACGTCCATCTTTTATCTTATCTGGCAGCCTTCCATGCTTTTCGCCCTGAGCATACATTCCCATCAAGCCATCCATAACAGAAGTGGCAGGTAGCTTGTTGGACTAGAATACATTTCTGCCAGCAACCTCAAGGTTAGGTGTACTGTTCAATGCGTACACTGTATTACGTGGTAATGACTATAATTTGAAGTCCTTATGCATTTGAGACTCAGTGATTTACACTCTCTTTAATTTCTAGTCAAGAGCAAGAGACTTTTAAAGGCATATACAAATATGTTGTGTGATTGTTTTAGAAGACTTATGTCCTAAAAGAGGGGGTGCCCATTTAATATTTTCTAAGGAATCTTAAGTGAGCATTGACTTTGCTACTTGGCAGGGTGCTCACAGGATTTAACGTAGGCCCATGAGAGGAAAGAAAATTCAGGTTGGAATTTATGTCATCTAGAAACACATAGATACGGTAAACTCTTGACTACCCCATCACACCCTCATGTTTTTCCAAAATATCACATCATTTTTCACACATTGCTCCGTCCTCCACATCAGCTAAGATCAGAATTTCAGGTGACAGGAGAATCCTGTGGTCATTTAAGACCGTCAGGTTTTTTTCTTTGATAATAAAGTTATAAAATTAAGAAAAAACAGCGGAAACAAACCATCGTACGCATAAGCTCTCAGAAGTGGGCAGGGCCTCCACAAAAGCTCTCGTGGAGTGTTCTTTCCCAGATAAGCCACGCTCCAAGACATCACCTCGTCACCCATCAGGGCAAACATTGAAGCAGACTAGAATGATTTCCCTCAAACACAAATACACCCAGCATCCATATTCTCTGTTTAACACACGTGAGACATTCCCATTGGACGGAATGACTCCAAACCTCTGACGTCAGCACGGTCTGACATCCCAGCACGGCAATGAATGCGTGAAGCCAGAGCTTTGCTACTCTCTATTGTGATCAAACTGTCTTAAATTAGAAGTATTTGTTCTTTACAAATGTGGACAGATGCAAAAATAGTGATCTTACCCATGTGGATTTTGGGTTTACAAGTATATATATTGTGTATATTCCCCAAATTATCGGTTGGTTTTCACTTCTCTAGAACAAATAGTGCACGCTTCAGATTCTGACTCAGGATGGATGAAACCATCCTTTTCCTCCCTTCTCCCTATTTCCATATCGCAGTTAAAAAATGATTACAGACCTAACAGGTGGAAAATTGGTCTTTATTATAGCATAAAATAAACATCACCTATTTCCTCTTCACTGTGGTTCGGACCCACAATTGTTAGATCTGAAACATACTTCTTGTCTCTAGGTACTTTATGTATGTCCACCTTTTTTTTTTAAGGTCCAGAAGAGCATAATGGCTAATTACATAAAAAGTTAAAATGTGATATGGCAAATAAATAGCATGAGGCAGAACCCCGAGCTCACGTGTGGGTTCAACAGATGCAGAACAGCGTTCCATTCAATAAGGGAAGATGTACAATCATGCTTGGAAACCCGGAGATCAATCTGCCTGGAACATTTAATTTTCATGATAAAAGCATGCAAACAACGGGGGTGGTCTTCACTGGAGCCCACCCAAATCAGAAGCATGGATGCCCACCCGGAGGGTGAGTCTCAAGTCAAGCATGTGTTTCCTTGTCTTTTGTCTTGCCAGCCCTCACACTCAGAACTTCTCTGCCCCTGGGCACTCAGAGCCTTGCCTAATAAGGACCCTGCTCTACCCGGAACTCCCTTACCACTCACACCTGCAGAGCTTGACCTGAACACCCCCCTCCCCTCTCCCGTGTAAAGTAAATGTTTTGAAAATAGGGGGTGGTGGGGGTTCATACAATAGGCCATTACCAGCTTTCCAGACTTTGTCGTGAATGAGTTAAGAGCAAATTGGTAATGCTGTGGGGTATAAGCTGGGCTGGGAAAAGCAGAAGCTTTCCTTCAGGTTGGGTTCTTGTGTTGGGGTGTAGCCCCGGCAGAGGTCAATCTAAATATGTGTTGGGGTCCCTAGAGTGTGGGAGTGTCATGCTGGAGGGTAGAGAAAAGGAAGCTTAGGAGTCCCATGAGGGAGGGTTGTTGACATCCAGCCTTGCTTATGCTCAACATTTGAAAACAGCCTACGGGACTAATCTGCTAAGGCATTGGCTTTTGGTCTCTGTCCTTTCTCCTGGAGGTGACATACGTAACTTGGTTACTGGTAACTATACAAGACATGAACTTCTATGATATATGGTACAAATTCTTTTCTTTTCTCCTTTCGGCACTGGGACTTGAACCCAGGACCTTAGGCATGCTGGGCAAGTGTTTTGCTACCTAACTGTACCTCCAGCTCAATAAAAAATTACCTTGAGGCTGTGGGATGGATCCAATGTCCTTAACCATATGCGGGTTACAAGCTATTCATCTCTATACACAAAATAAACTCTCAGGGAGGCTTTACATCTGTCTGTTAATGGTGGACTCAACCCCGAGTTTATCCTAAAGAAAACCAAAAGGTGAGAGAGGAACAAAAGCCTCCTCCATTCTCATCTCCCTGTTCCATAGAGAACAGTGCACCCCAGCGCTTCCCCTTAAGGGGTACCTGCTCTTCCGTAGCAAAATGAATGTAGGAAGGAAACAGGGAAGGAGTGGAAAGGTACCATTGATAGAAGTTAGCTATAGAATGTATTCCTTGCAAGGACCATAAAGATAACGTTAAGCCATTCGTGAACTGAGTAAGCTATCTCTGTATATGATGGGCCCTAATAAGTCCTCTATCTTCACTGGAGTGCTCACTTCTTCTCCTCTCTATATTAGCATTGCCGTGAGAAGGCAGATGGCAGAATGGAATCTAGTCCTCTCAGAGGTCGGGCCTTAGGATGCTAAGGGAATTGTGTGTCCCACAAGAGCCTCACCTCTTTCAGACGCATTCTATCTACTTCCCCACTGACCTGAAGGACATGGGGGAATGGCTGGGACCCACTCATGTTCTGTCTTTTGTAAAAATTAAGTCTATGCCAGCAAACTACGGTCCTGCGTGGCCTCGGGAGACACCCTCTGCCTCTGAGCAGACCCATCTCCTCTGAGCATGCTCCTCACAAGGCCATGGTCACCATCACCTGGGAGCAAACCCGTACCTGCGGAACTATTCTTCATCCACGTCTGTCACAAACTGAGAGTGATGCTCGGGTGACTTGCTGTGCGTTTTGCTTAGGTGGAGTTTTACTGCGTGTTTGCTCACAAATGTCCGACTGCACAACTTACACTTGAATTTAGAGTCTGTGTCCTCTTCACCGGCTATTGTTTCTGGAGACCTCTGAGCCGACGACACCCGGGAGATCTCCTGCTCCGCCTTGCTTGGCTGGTCAGCCGCCATCCGCGTCATGTCCTTCATTTGGAAGCCCAGGTGAGACTCTAAGTGGCTGATGTAAGTGGAGGGGGTTCTGAACTGGGAGGCACAGTCACTGCAGTAAAAGATGGGGTGCCCTTTGTCCATGTTTTTCAGGAATTTTGTTCCCCCTGTTTTCCTAAGCTGGTACTTGACATTGGCCAGCCAGTGGCTGATGGTGGTCATCGAGAGTCCCGTGAACTTTGAGATTTGCATCCGCTCCTGTGGGCCCAGGTCAGAGAGCAGATATTTGCCCTCCGATGTCTGGAAGAGGCTCGAGGCGAACTGCGCCTGCAGGATGAGGAGGTGCTGGGGGTTCCAGTTGGACTGCCTGCCCTTCCTCTTGTGCAAAGTCGAGACTTCGCCGGAAACATCCTCGAAGCGCCTGACATCCATTTCCAGCTTCATGGGCGGGACCCTCGAGGGGGCAGCTGGCTTGGGGGTGGTGGCTTTGGGGAGGACCTTGACCATATCGGCAATGTCACAGAGAGCATGCTTCTGAGGTGGGGACGTGCAGGATTGTGCTTGCGAGGACTCGGCCCTCTTGCTTTTGGATTTGGTCAGGTCAATGGGTTGGTCACTGTTCTCAAACAGGTAGTGTCGGGATACGCTGGCCGGCCTGGAGGAGGAGGGACTTAGGACCGGTTTGTCCACTCCACTGAGACTAGACTTGTGGAACATAGAGATTGTGCTTGAGCTGGGGCTGGAGCAGGAAGGTGAGCGCAAAGGCTCAGTAGCTTTACCCAGGTGGTTGTTGAGGACAGACTGCAGCGCGCTGAGCGGGTTGACGCAAGGCAGGGCCGGGGTGTGGTTAGCCGGTGCGCACCCGTTGCTCAGAGAAGATACAGGTTCTAATGGCTCTGGTTTCTCTTTCAGTGGCTTCTCTCCCTCCTTCAAGGGACAGGGCTCAGCCTTTCTGGATTCTGAGGGTGTTTCAATTTTGGAGAAGGACTCCCCCTCAGACTGACTGAGAGATGTTGCCTCTTCACGGGGACTCTCCTTCCCACACTCCTTTACGACTTCGTCTTTGTCTTCTGTCTCCTTCTTAACTTGAGTGTACAGGGCCAGGTTTGTGGGCACAGGGCCAAGCGGCATGACTTTCCACTTGGGTGCTATTGGCCTTAGCTTGCTGGCAAGGTTGGGTCTGATTTGCAGTATCTGAGAGCCCATTGCCATGGGTGGCTTGGCACCCTCTGACAGCTGGTAGGCTGCATGGATACTCGGGTATGCGCTCCAGCTGGGAGCACCGTTTTGGGCCTTGTTGATGGCCGTGGTTACAGTATTTTCCAGTGACTTTAAGATGTCCCCTCCACCCTTTGAGCCATCTTCCAAATCCTCCTCTCTCAGATACTGGTATTTTAAGGTGGGGTCGAGAGGTTTCTGTAGAGGGTCTTCGTATTCCTCGCCTTTCGCCCCTTGCTCGTCTTCGTTGATCTCCTCCGCCTTCTCCTTCTTGCTCTCTTTCTTTAACTCGGTGCTAGAGGCCGCGCAGTCAGAGGCAGAGTTACTTGACGGCTTAGCGCCCAGAGACTCGCTGTTTGGGGTCTCGGACAGCGACTGCATTTTCTCCACGGCCAGCGGGTCCAACACCAGCTGCTTGCCTTTCTTGGAGGCAGAGCTAGTGACTTTGAGAAAGTGACCCGTGACCATCATGTGTGTGGTGAGCTGCTGCAAGGTGTCATGGGAGCTGCCACACTCCATACACTTTAAGATCTGCGACTTGCAGGCCTCGAACTGCCAGGTGTAGCTGGCTCCGTTTTGGTAGCCGTAGCGGCTGTTGGAGGGCAGCTGAAGGTTGGGGTTTTTCTGGGAAGAAAACGATTCTGCCTGTGTCCCCGTGGTGGAGTCCGGGGAGCAAGGCCTGTTGATGTCGAAAACACGCTTCTTGGCTGGTGTCACCATTTTAGAGGAAATGGTTGGTACCGGTTCCTTCAAAGGCACTTTTTGGTAATGTTTTGTCTTTATCATGTGGACGCTCAGGTCTTGCAGGGAATCAAAGGAGTCGCCGCAAAACATGCATTTCAGAACCTTCTGCGCGTCCTCTTTGTCCACGTCCTGGAAGGCCCTTTTCCGGGGCTTGGAGTAGCTCGTGGGTCGGAGCTTGTCTTTTTTGCGGTTGTCATCTTGATAGTGGCCCGTCTCATTCATGTGCACGGTGAGCTCCACCAGAGTGTCGTAGGCCGCGCTGCACTGCCTGCAGCGGAACCTGCTGGCCCCGGTGAACACCGAGCCGCACATCTTACTGCTCTGCCGGTACAGCTGCACGGAGCTGAATAGGCTGGGCTTAGAGACAGACCGGGAAGGCAAGTTCTGCTGGAGGCTTTTGGACAGGGCATCTTGGTGCCAATCAAAGTCATTCTTGCTGCTGCCATTGCGGGTGTCACAATTCCGTCTCTCGCTGTTGGATAATTTGAAGCCGAGGCCCAGGCCTGACCAGTAGGAATCTGACAGGATGTTGGCATAGACGGCTGTCATTTTATCCATACAGTTATGGGGTTCGCTCGGAAGCTTGGGGTGAGCGTTTGCTTTCTTGTCCGAGGCATCTCGGCCACAGATGCTCTTGATGTCTGACACCTGGTCGCTGGCATCGCTCAGAAGAGATTCATTTTCCGCGTCCTGGTTGGACAGGTGACTCCCTGGCGAGTTCTGGCAGCTGAAGTAGCCCTTCTGCTCTGGGACTGTTTCTAGTTCCTCATCTGTCCCCGTGTCATTACTGCCCTGATGTTGAGCCACTGAACCACTGTCTTCCTCCTCCTCCTCTTCCTCCTTTATTTCCTCCTCTTCCTTCAGAACTTCCTCCTGGGCATAGCCTGCAAGAGATACAGAGAGATGAACTAAACGTAACGGCTCTCGGAGTCTGTCCCCGTGTCCCCACTTACCCAGGCTGAACTGAATAGCAATTTAATCTAGACTTTCACCAGTCACAAGCTGGTAAAAAATGGAGGCAGGGAGAAAGACAAATGATGCATTTTAATTTTGGAACAGGGCCTCATGTAGCCCGGGATGGCCTCAAATCTGCTATGTTGCAGGGTGTGAACCCTTGATCCTCTCGCCTCTAACTCCCCAGTGCTGGGATTACAAGCGTGCACCATCACATTCAGTTCCTGTGGTGCTGTGGATGGAACCCAGTTTTTATGCGTGCTAGGCAAGCACTATGGCAACCGAGTACATCCCAGGAACCGAAGGATGTCTTTCGTGCCATCCATTGGCTGTTTCTTTTTAACTTGGCAAAACCATAATTCTCTATGCATGGATACTACCACGAGTTAACTATTAAGGGATCAAATATCATTCAGATATTCCTATAATGAGACAGTGGCTAAATTCACATGTGTGACTGTCAGGAAATCTAGATCAAAATGCAAATCCTACCAGCATCACAGCACGGGAGAGTGTTGGCTCCTAAGAAAGTTAGCTTGGCCCTTGGCACATCAGTGGCAAGTAGTCCCAAGGCACTTGGGAGTATCAGCATACATCCGTCTAAAGAGGAACCTGGATGCATAGCCATTGTGTCTTTGATAGCGTGTGTCTTTCTTTTGTAGCATTTTTATTTATAGAGAGTTGCTGGGAGAGAGACCACGGAGTATGCAAATACAATCTCCTACCAATGGGTGAAAAATTATGTAAGCTCAGCAAATACAATGATTTTAAAATAATGGGGAATGGTGTTAGAAAGGGAGATTTGGGGGCTAGTCTATTACTCTCACACGGGTTTATGAAGACCTTCCCAGACACGGCTAAAAATACTCTCTCGATCTTGTTCCTGTAATTTCAAATGCACTGTGATTTGTGGGTACCCGTCACGAGGTGCCAATTATAGAGTTGATTTGTGGATGTAAAATGCTATTGGGGAATGCATGCTTTCCCTTCTCTGAGAGGACCGAGGGCCAGTAATTGCATAGGGAAAATGAAGGCACGAGAGAGAGGGCGCAAAGGAGAATTAATGCACAAATATCCATCAGGGCCAATGGGGAATGTGACTATTTATGCCCATAGGTTCATTTTATCCACCTGGCCTTTCAGAGGCATGTGGATAAACGGCAACCAAAGATGTCTCCATGCAAAAGAGACCCGGCTTCAAATCTGCAGGGTTAGCATGGCCTTAATGCAAGGTTTCCCTCAGAAACATCACTCTCCCTCTTGATGGCAGGAAAAAAAAACAACAAAACAAAACACAAGCCCTAGACCAGGTTCTGGTCTTCCCATCCACCAAAACTCCAACTTGGACACGAGGTGTCCCTGCATTTAAGGCCGGCAGAGAGAGTTCAAAGAGAAGGGCCTGAGGAAGGAGGGATCTGTAGTCAGGGCTATCAACGCTGTTGCTGTTGAAGATGAAGAATTTTAATTGAGAAATTGTTCTCTCCTCCCAGGTAAATCACTACAAATCATTTTGGTGTGTGTATGTATTCATGTTTGCATGTGTGTGGGCACATGTGCAGCCTCATGTGGAGGTTAGAGATTGATGCAGGACCTTCTCGCAGCCTCCCCTCCCTCGGAGCCTCCCCTCCTTAGTATAGACTGAGGCAGGATCTCTCTCTCACATGAGCCTAGAGCTGGCTCATTCAGCTGGTTTATCCATCCAACTTGCTCTGTGGGTTCCCTGTATCTGCCTCCTGAATGCTGGGGTGATAGGCATGCTGTCACATCTGCCTGACATGTATGTGGTTGCTTGCTCACTAAACTCTGGTCCTCATGCGTATGCAGTGACCACTGAACCATCTTTCCAGCCTGCGAGAATGTCCTTTCGTGTTCCTCTAACATCCACATACAGTACTTGCTGTCATCTGTTTATTATTTTAGGGGTCTGGAGACTGAGGCTTAAAAAAAACGGAGAAAGTTGCAGACCCTGCAGGGTCCCCACAAAACCCAGTGCTGTTTGTCGAAAGAATTCATTATTTCGTGCAGGCCGTTCTTCCTTCCACTGCCAACTTAATGAATAAGAAAATCTTCCCAGGGCAGCAGTGAAATTTGGTCGATCTTTAAGCAGCTAGAGAGAGGATTGTGGGAATGCTGAAGACAAGGGCCTATGGCTTTGAGGGCAGGCGTCCATAAAACAAGATAAAATGCAAAAGTTCAGTCTGGCCACGAGTTTTATGGTTGCGTTTGTTATTTTATTGTTATTGGTGAGCTGCTTTTTTGCTTTCCCAGCAAACTGACAAGCAGATTTTTCATTAAATTGGTGTTGCTGGTCTCTAGTGCCAAAAATTGATTGGAAGAAAGGAAAACTATCCAATCCAGCCAAGCAACCATTAATAAATGGCCACTTCTTGCACGAAAACTGCATTTCGAAACAACCGAATGCCCACATCATACCAGACCCTCCCTGTGATTGACATCTTCCTCTCTTCCATCAAGACTAACGTAAGCATTCTAAAGAGGTATTCCACGATTACGTTCAAGGAGAAAGTTCTTAATTATAAAAAAAGAAAAGTTTCCTGAGACCATGAAAGATACTTCAAAAATCAGATACATTTTAGCCATGAGACGTGGGCACTTTGCTGCTGCTGTTTCTTTTGAGTGTCGCTTTGTAGCCCTAAGGGGGCTGTGAGTCCTCACAATCCTCCTGCCTCAGTGCTGGTATTGTCGGCATGAGCCACCATTCTTGGTGAAATGATCTCACATTTGGGAGTGAGATCAGGCAAACTTTACGAAATAAACTCGGTCACTTTTGAAAAGGAAATGGGTGTTCTGACTCTGGGACAAATACCAAGAAAACAACATCATCCATGACTATTCTGGCTATAACACACTGCCACCGTGCTTCTGGGTAGTACAATCATAGAGAGAGGGAAAAGCATGCACGCGAGCACACACACAGACACACAGACACACAGACGCACAGACACACATACCTCTACCAATCAATATGTTCATTTTCCGCCAGGGAACAAGAAGTAGTGCTCCTTCCTATTTTTCCTTCTTTCTCCCCTGCTGACATTTGGTGCTGAGCTTCCTAAGGACCCATTCAACCTCACAATCTACTTTGTCCTAAATGGAGTCCCCAGAAGAAAAGTCGGAGACAGCACACTCCTCCCCCACAATACAGATAAAATTTTCTGCTTAATTAGGCATTGACATGTTTACTATAACCTTTACAGCAGAGTAACTCGTGCTGAGAGACCCTTTTTGTCTGTTTGCCTCCGCAGAATAGACTAAATCTCATGCACCCGATAAAATAACACGTTGAAAAGCCTCAGGAAAAAAAAAAAAACTGCCGGCGCACCTGTCAAAGGGAGTGTATCTTAACAATGGCTGAGGGTTCCAAGGAGTTTCTCGAAACCACATTTTAATATTAAACATTTAAAATTGTTCACTTGATCCAAGCGATTCTGTTTGCCACCGGCAGCGGAGGTGAGCATGGAAAGGTGGCCAGAACCTGGGCGGCTGGGCGCATAACGGCTCCGTCTTTCGCCGTCGATGAATTGTTTAATGAGTTGGGCATCACGTGCAAATCTGGCTATAAGCAGATGAGTGGCAAATTCGTTCTTATGAACACTTGTTTAGCAAAAAGAATGGTCATAATGCTGCCAAGGCGGGGGTGGTGGGTTGGGATGGGGGGGACAACACTTTGTAGAATCTTTTTGTAGATTTTTGGCTTGAAGATCAAACTAATTTTCTAATCCCACCAATTTTCTAATTCCACCCCTGGCCATCGTGTGAATCTGGCCACAAGAAACCTGAGCTCCAGGACAGCGAGCAAATGAACCAACCCTGTTAGTTCTTTGTCTCAGTGACAGACTCGTGAGACCGGTTTCCTTCCATGCTTCCTCTGCTCAGATGGGCAGCCGTACTGTCCCCTAGGACAGGATGATAGACCCCTCACTCCTAATTATCCCACCCCCTAGAATGTTCTTCAGTTTTAGACAGATTCTCTGAATGCAACCCAGGCTGACTTTGAACTTACAGTTCTCTTGTCTTAGTCTCTGGAGATCTGGAATGACAGGTGTTCACTAACTCTGTTGCTAGAACATTCTGTGCAAAATGGTCAGACCAGGAAGTTCCTGTTTTAACTCTGGCAAAGGGTTTGGTACACTTAATGTGAAATGCAAACTCTGAGGGCTGACTATAGGAGCCAATCGGATCTGGTGTCTGGACGCCTCCTGGCTCTACCCTCAGGGGCAGCCACACCCTCCCGGCTTTGCGCAGCTAAGGAGCAAATCAAAACTGACAGCTGAGACGGAACTCTCCAATTGCAGACTTCACCTCCCTGGAGTTCATTCTCTTTGCCTTTTGGACAACACCCTGTCTCAAAAAGATACTTTTTCTGGCCACTTTTCCTTCTTTCTGTAAATTCAACCAGAGCCCACGACTTAGCCATCCCGCAGCATCGGCCTAACCGTGTTTACCGACGGCTTGGACCTCTCTCCCTGAACACGAAATTAAAACATCTGCCCCAACAATCCACCTCACAAACTTTGCTTCTCTTAGTACCAAGTCCCACCCTGGCACAATTACACCTTGTCCACAGATGCTTGAATGAATGAATAGATCAGACCAGAATATCATTTTCTCTGCAACCTCAGGCTACTCAGCAGGAGGACCGGCTCTCTCGTGAGCAGCGTGAGCAGCGATCACCCCCTCCAAACGGATCAGGTGTGAGTTACAGCCACCTTTATCAGTGTGCGCAGGGAGACAAGACGGCCCCAAGAACCATGGTTTCTGGCTGATGGAGCCACTGGCTTTCTTGCTGCCTAAGTTTCTGCAGTGTGGGTTTGCACTTAAGCCTGAAGATTAAGAATAGACATCAAGACTGCGGCACACGAGCACTTAGGCTCTGCTGCGAGAAAGAGCCACACACAGGCTGCCTGAC